CTAGTCAAACTAAACATATTCCTATTTTCCCCAAAAACTTTGTTGTAAGAGCACTATTCGTCACTTTGCGTTATTGAAAGGTGTAGCTAAGTAAGAGAACTATGTTCAAATTTTTAATTCTGTGTGTTCTGTATAAAAGAACTATAACTTGACAAATTTCAACAAATTATGCCTATTTATTAGAGGCACAAAAAAGACACAAATTATAAAAAGTTTAAAAATTATAGTCACAAGAATTATAATGCTCACAAATATTAGTCAGAATTTACTACCACAAAGGAAGCAAATTAACCTTTACTCTATAAATAGCATTAAAAAATCTCAAATTTAGTATTCTAGAAATATAGTCACTCATATTCATGGCACATTTCTCTTGTTTGAATATTGCGGGACACCAAAATCCACCCCCTCACCTTTCTTAGTGAATGTTGACAGTGGAGTCCTTTTTTATGACTTCCAGCACAAAAGTGCATTATAATGCAAGAAGCAGTAAGGGGCTGGTGACTGAGTGCTCTCTTCCAGCTAATCCATGCTCCTTAGCAACATAATCTCAACTAGAGGTGTATATGAACAAACTTCTCAAAAGGTGAGACTATGCCAAGGAACTGTGCCACTGACATTAATCATGATCCAAGTATGCCTCCAAACATCTAAACCTAATGCTAATTTTGTTATGGTTACCTTACCCTGCAGAATAGGTTCTTTTCATGTCATTCTCTTTAGCTAAGACATATACAACGAAATATATAACTGTTAGCTTTTATGCAACTGTTCAATGCTTTAAAGTATAAAAAATGATGAGGTTGATGTATCCTAAGACATCTGCAAATTCTTTCTGATATTCATCACTCACTTTAATAATCATAGGTATCCTGAACTCCTAAAATGCCATCAACAGTTTCTAAATCTAAATCAACAGTTTCTAAATTAGTACCTCCAGCTTAGCTTTTCAAATAAGACTCCAGGGACCAATACAGCAGGATGTGGCTCCTGTAAATGTATATACGCTAAAGCTTGTGAAGCCAGTTAAATTTGAAAAACAAGAAATAGATCTAAAGCAAAAGATAAACTCCAACATGTAGCACCGGGTGACTTGAGCATCTCACTATCATTAGTCATCAGGTCCACTGGACAAGAAAATTCAGTGTGCAAAGCCCAGAGCTAACCTACACTGCAACAGACTGAACCTAATAGACATCTAACTCATTACACTCCATGGCACGAGAAAAAACAGTGTTTTTTTCATCTTGCTTTACTGATCCCTTTACTATTTACAAGTGAATTTCTCATCTCTTTCAAGATTTTGATTAAAATCTATTTTGTTTTATACTGGGATGGCATTCGCTTCTCATTTTTGAATTTCATTAGCATGTAATACCTTTTTCATCCTTTTCATTTCACTTCGTTTGTATCTTTGCTGGTGAGGTGTTTCTTGTAGACAGCGTGTATTTACATTGCGGTTTTGTTGTCAATTCATTCAACTAGTGTGTATCATTTAATTGGGGAATTTGGTCCACTTACATTCAAGGTTATTATTGAGCAATAATACTTAATCTTGAATTTTTCCAAAAATGCTTCTATTGTTTGTTTTGAATCTATGCTGTTTATTTGGGAGGAGATTTTCTGCATTCTCATCCTTTTACAATGTTTGATGCTATCCTGTTTCTGCATGTAGTGCATCCCTAAATGTCATTTGTAAGATACGCCTGATGGTGACAAATGCTTTAAAATTTGACTTCCTTAGAGGTTTTTAGCTCACTTTTATTACAAATGAGACCTCTGTTGCATAATTTGGGGCAGTAGATCTTGGACCTTTTATCTGTATTGTTTATTGGTTTGTATGGCTTGTTTGCTTAAAAGTATCTTCAGAAATGATTTGTCCTTCCTTTCACAAAATTTAAGATACGCATTGTGCATTTTTTTGAATATTTGACCATATGTATCAAGCTGTAGATATTTTCTGATCAGTTATTTTTGGGTTTCTATATGCTTCAGATATTTAGGTTTCCATAACTTACCAAATAATGGAAAATTCTTGCTGTTATTTTTTTGACTGGATTTTCTATGGCTTATTTTTTTATATTCTTTCATTTATTCCTAATGTTTGGGTATTTGGGTATTTGTGGGTATCACATAAATGCTGAAAATTATTTCATTCTTTATTATTTTGTCTTCTTTGTTGTATGATTAGAACACTTCCAAAGGCCTTGTCTTCCAGATCAGATATGTTTTAATTTTATTTCTGGGATTTCATCAACATCCATCTATTTACAGTCCTTTTTTTTAAGATTTATTTTTATTGGAAAGTCAGATAGACAGAGAGGAGGAGAGACAGAGAGGAAGATCTTCCATCTGATGATTCACTCCTCAAGCGGCTGCAATGGCTGAAGCTGAGCCAATCTGAAGCCAGGAGCCAGGGGCTTCTTCCAGGTCTCCCACATGGGTGCAGAGTCCCAAGGCTTTGGGTCATCCTCGATGGCTTTCCCAGGCCACAAGCAGGGAGCTGGATAAGAAGTGGGGCTGCTGAGATTAGAACCAGCTTCCACATAGGATCCTGGTGCATGCAAGGAGAGGACTTTAGCTGCTAGGCTACTGCTCTGGCCCTACAGTCCAATATTAATGCATTATTATGTTTCTTTGTGGGAGTCATATTGGCTTCCTTGTTGTATTTTTTTATGTTCCTACACTGCTTTTTCAAGTTGTGATATAACCTGATTTTGTCACTTCTAAAGGATGACTCTTATTGAAGAAGGTATTATTCTTGAGCTATACCTCTAGGTTTCAGTTCCAGTTAGTATAGTATTCTTCCTACCAGTTGAATTCAAGAGCTAAGAGTAATATTCATGCATGCATGAACTTTCCTTTAGTTGTTGGTAGCTATAATAGGGATTCTGGCTGTTCATGTGCCTCTGGGTAGTCACTCAGATAGCTGTCATTTAGGGTTCCATTTTTGTTTGTTTGCTTTTTTTTTGTTTTTTAAGAGAGAGAGATAATGGGGGACTGGTATGACGCACTTCTCAAGTGTTTGGATGATATCATACTGATGTTGTGATTGTGCCTGGCTCATATATTAAAAGTCAGTCCCTTGTCAGGTACCAGAGTTGTAAGTAAGTGAAGTGCTGAACCTCAGGCTGGGTGGATTTAAAGACTTCTAGGGGTTGTCTAGACCTAAATATTCATTACTTCCTTCGACATTTGGTAGAGGATGTGGGACCCACAGATGCACTTCACGACGGTGAGTGGATTTGTGAGGAAGAATTTTCTTCTGTAACAGCAGGACAAGCAGCTTTTGGTCCCGTTAGATGTTTAGATTCAGCACCAAGAGCCAACCTGGGATTTCCAATGAGGAAGGCCAGTTGGATTCAAGGAGTAAAGTTCATGTCTGCAGCTAGAGTCCAGTGTGATATGGCAGATGGAGGTGGTAAAGCACCTCTGTCTACTGTGGACAGAAGGCGTAGATGTTGGAGCCTACAGTTCTGTACCTTTACTGACCAGAGCACCGACTTACTATGTATTTTGCCATTCAAACCCACTGTGAGATAGATCCTCAGATCAGGAAACTGTTCCTTTGTGGTGAGACTGAATGAGTACATGGGAACACAGCTTCAATGTGCATTTTTTTTCTTATTTTAAAGATTTATTTTAATTTGAAAGGCAGACATACAGAGAGGAGAGAGAAGAGAGGAGAGGGTAGGGAAATAGAGAGAATCTGATATTCAATATCCACTAGTTCATTCCCAAAATTGACACCATGGCCAGGATAAACTGATCTAAAGCAAGGTACCAGAAGCCTCCTCTGGGTCTCCTGCATGAGTACAGAGGCCTGAGAACCTGAACCGTCCTCCTTTGTTTTTCCATATCTTAAGCAGGGAGCTGGATCAGAAGTGGAGTAGTTAAGGTATGAACTAGCAACCATATGGATGCCAGCGCTCTAGGTGGAGAATTAGAGTTTTATGCCACATCAGTTGCCCCTGAGATTTTCAGCAGGTTGGAAGAAGGGGGAGATTAAGGGAAAAGAATCTGATTGCTGATTGTGACTGCAAAGGCCTCCTTATTTTCGGAGACCTAGGAAAAGTCTATCTCAACCGTTTATCACCAAAGTCTATGTGGTAGAGAGTCCTGTGTTGCCCCAAACTCCATGGCACCACTGCTGTGACTCTCTAGACTGGTGTACCTTTCCGAGAATGTTTGATGCCTTTCTCAGTGGACTTAAAGCCAGGGCAGACAGATTTTCCCACAGTCTGAGCTTCAGGTCTGCAATGCTGGCAGTTGTGGAGGAACCTCTGACCATTGTCAGTGAAGCTAGACTTCGCAGTTTGCAGCAAGGAAGGAAGGAGCAGGGGCAGCCATGGCTGTGTACCTGCCTCCTGCCCTCCTGCCCTCCTGCCTAGTTGGTTTATGGGATTTCCATTTTGTTCAGTAGCTAAACATACTACTGGCTTGTTCAGCTCTTCCGAAGGTGGACTGCTTGAGGAAGTAGCTGATCGTATTTGTATCCTTGCAGACAATCACTTGAACATGCTTCTCAGCACCATCTCACTGCAGCATTCTGTTTTCATTTCTGCTTTTTGAGGGGCAATGTTTGAAAAAGCTTGAGCTTGACAAGTTTTGGTATTTGTGCCCATTTGTAAGGAAATTGTTTCAAATGATGTGTAAACAGAGATATCATTCTGAAAAATAAAGCAATGAGAATAGACATCTGAAGATTTGTATTGTACAAAGTAAATAATTAATCAATTTTTTTAATTGCTTAAAGTAACATTTGATTCTAAAGGGACCGTGTCATGTTTCTTGTTTTAACCGATTTAAAAAAGTCTCTTTCATCCAATACAATGAATTGATTTTATGAATTTCTTCAAGTGTGAAATAGCACTTTGATTTTACTCCTCCTTCCAAAGGTCATGGACCTTTAGACAGGCGCTTGGGACATCGGCTTCTTTTTATTCCTGTGGAGGCAGAAGAAAAAAGCAGAAGGTGTTTTGTCAGAGGAAACAAAAGTAATGGATCCCAAACACCAGCACATGGCGTTAAATGATGGTCACTTTATTCCTGTACTGGGCTTTGGCACCTATGCAGCTGAAGAGGTAAGCCTTGTTGCTTTGCGATTGAGATGACAGAGGAAGATAGATTTAGAAAGGGTGGAAAGTTATCTGAGCTGTGAAGTCACCCAGCTGCTGCATGATTATTCAAGTTTCATTTTATTCTCCATTTCTCCTAGTCTGAACTCAGTCACACTATTTGTTGCTTGGCAAATACCATGGGTCACAGCTGATAATAAAGCCACTACTCAACAAAACTGTTACTTAGCTTGCTCACCTGGCTTCATTTCAAATAGAGTGGTTCCCTGCTTCTTCCTATAATTTAAAACATGCTTTTTTCCAATAAAGTATGATCTAGAGATTGAATTTTTGTTAGTAGAAAGGAAGCACAAAGGTTATGAAGACAATAATACTGTCTTGATGTTGTTTAAATTTAACCACCATTCAGTAATTCCCGGATCTGATCCATGTAGAATTTTCCATGTTTAATTCTTATTTCTGGGAAACATACCTGAAAGAAAATGCAGTGATACCTTAGGGAAATAGAGACCTAATCAGAGCGAAGGTATGTTGTTGGTCCTTGTTAACCAGTGTTGCAGTTAAAGGGGAATGATGTTTGGTCTTATGAAATAAAAGTCGAGCATCATGGAGGGGATTCTGCACACTGATACCGTGGCTTGATGGATGATTGAATGACACCAGATTATAGGATTTCCATTTTATTCTTGTGAAACATTATTGAATTACTGGGGATATTCTGAAGACATGTGGCAGGACTTCGTAGTTCTTCAAAGAGAAGTGGGATGAAGGGGAGAGAAGGATCAAGTACACCAAATCAAGAAACAGTACTGATAAATTTCTGAGTTCCCACACATTATTTGCTTCATCACTGTTTCACTGAATAAAGCAAACCTGTTAAATCCTTAAAATAACTGAAAAAAGGGTTTGCGTCATTTATCTGTTTGTTCTTTAACCAACATTTTCAAGTCTTTGTTCAAATTTGGAAAGCCAGGATTTGTGTTCTCATTCTATCTTGCTTATGGAAGTTGCCTCATTGTGTTTCTTTTATAGATGTGTGATCTCATTGTATCCTGTTTATAGAAATGTTACAAACTTTCATATGATATGGCTGATCTCTTGTGTGAAAATGCGAATCCCATTAGTAGGCATTCATACTCCTCTCTTTGTTAGTTTTATGTTTTTGTTTGGGGGAGGTGGGAGCAGACAGAATGTCTGTAGCAAGTATTTGCATAGTTACTGCTTGCATATTTAACTATCTGTGTTCAATATAAGCTCTAATTTTCAGCAGGAAGCCTACATTCTTTCACACTTCAAGTTTATTAGGATGGTGGCTGTAGCTAAAATGCCTGTACAGACAATGTAGTGTGGTTGTTTTTGCTTGTGATATGCTTATAGGGTAGCGGAGGATATCTATCTCAGCGTGTCTGGATGGAAAATCAGGAGTGGAAAATCTATATAAATAGCTGTCATTACTGATACTTTTGCAAATGATTGCAAATTCAATTATGACAGAATTAAAGATATTCATTTTATTTCACTGGGAGAGAATTCACTAAGGATCCCGTTGAATTCATTTAGTATATGGTTTCATTTTGCTTTCCCTGATGTTAGCTTTCATTAGAAAGCACAGTACATAAATAAAAAGCAAGATATTAACTTTCGTTGTGTCCTGTAAATCCATCCATCAGATCAGTAAACCTGGCATCATTCCTGAGCACATTTGATGGCAATAATCAATGTACTTGACTGGGATGAAGAGATTGCTGAGCTGCCTACCGCTTGCTATTAATTGGGGAAGATACAGGCTAACTGAGATGAATGGATCCCCTTAAAATAGAGAATTATTCTAACACATGAGAGGAAAAAACAAAATTGTGAAGGTCACTGATGATGCTTAAATTGATTCTAATCACCTGCACCCCAAAATAGTATTCTTGTCTGCTTCTCTAGGTTCCTAAGAGTGAGGCTGGGGTGGCCACCAAAATAGCTATAGATGCTGGGTTCCGCCATATCGATGCTGCTTACGCGTATCAAAATGAAGAAGAAGTAGGTCAGGCCATCCGCAGCAAGATTGCTGATGGTACTGTGAAGAGAGAAGACATATTCTTAACTTCCAAGGTATGGTGTTTGATATGTAGTGTGCTAATTAAAGCAATATGGGCACAAGGTAATAGCTTAGTGGTTAAATCCTTATCTTGCATATGCTGGGATCCCATATGGGTGCTGATTCATGTCCCAGCTGCTCAATTTCCCATCCAGCCTTCTGCTTGTGGCCTGGGAAAGCAGTAGAGAATGACCCAATGTCTTGGGATCCTGCATCCCTGTGAGAGACACAGAAGAGGCTCCTGGATCCTGGTTTCAGACTGGCTCGGTTCTGGCTATTGTTGCCACTAGAGGGAGTAAACCAGTGAACCAGTAAGACAGAAGTCTTTCTGCTTCTCTTTCTCTCTGTAAATCTGACTTTCCAATAAAAATAAAATAAATGTGATGTGTGGGGTAACTATGTAATTATGTAATATAATTGCATAATTTTGTATACAATTGTTGATTACTTTTCTTTTTTCACACCTGATTTGCACATTCTTTTTATTAACTTTTAAATTGATTTAAGAATTAGCAATTTTAAACGCATTTCTACATAAACCTCATAGTGTATACATACACAAATGAACCATCTTTTTCTTTGAGAAAAGGGTATAAATATCACAAAATAGGGGCTCATGGCAATGATTCTAGAGTGATGAAGCAGGGCATATTATCACAGATATCACGGTTCAGTAATGATAATATTTTACCCATGCACTATCAAATAGTAGGTCATTCACACAATTTTTATATTCTATTCATAATAAATGAAAACACGTGCTGTTTGTCTTTTCTAGTCTGACTTATTTTGTTTAGTATAAGGATATTCCATTTCATTCGTTTTGTTGCAAATAACAATATTTCACTCTTTTTATATATAATATTCCACCATTTACACGTACTACATTTGCTTCTTCTAGTAATTAGTTCATGTATATATATATTTTTCCATGGTGAATTGGGATGCTCTAAGTTTGGGAGTGCAAATATCTCTTTTGTAGTCTGGTTTTGATTCCTTTGGATACATTTTCAGTTAACTGGATCACTTGGTATATACATTTTTGCATTTTCATGAGTGTACAAATTATTTTTCGCAACATTTATGGTAATTTCACTTCTATGGTATATTAGGATACACGGTATGTTGTCACAGTTGAGTTCTTTCTACTCAATCTGGTAATTATTTGTATGTTGCTATTATTACTGATAACGGTCATTCTCACTGAAGTGAGAAAATACCTTATTGTGGCTTTTGTTTTCATGTCCTTAATTGCTAAACATTTTTTATGTATCAGTTCAACATTTTTTTTCTTTTCTCCAATTGATATGGCTTGCTTATTTCTTAATTGTATTGTTTATTGTTAAGTATATTGATTTCCTGATAGATTTTTGTATTATTTTTAAATCAGATGTATAGCTTCAAAAAAACTTCTGTTTTGCTGATTTTCTTTTTACTTTTTATTTCTTCTTTGCTGTGCAGAAGCTTGTTAGCTTGATAAAATCCCACTTGTCTATTTTTGCCTTCATTTAATTGTGTTTTTGGAGTCTTATCTATGCAGTTATACCTAGGCCATTGTCTTACAGTATTTCCACCAGCAGTTGTCATGTCCAGATCTGTAGATTTTTACTTCATTATGAGTTGAATTGGGTATGGTCTTTAAGCAATGCAAGTGTCTTTTCTATGGAATGATTTTTTAAAAAAGGATTTTAAAACTTTTAAAATCTTTTTGTAAAATCAGTTGATTTTGGACTTATGGATTTGTTTTCAAGTTTTAAATTTTGATAGAACTCAGTAATGAAACATCTAGCTCTGGTCTTTCCTTTTTTGGGAGAATTTTTATTACTGATTCCGTCTCAATCTTAATTATTGGTCTACATAGATTTTTTATGTCATTGTGATTCAAGATATGTTATATTTTATATATGCACATATAAAATATATTATATATAACATATATATATATATTTATACTTACACATGTATATTAAAATATGTGTATCCAGAAATGTATCTACTTTTTCTGGATTTTCTGATTTGAACATACTTTTATGTAGGCAATTATTGGTATAACATTTCTCGTTAACACTAGTTTTTCTGTATCCCAAAAGTTTTGATTGGTAGTTTTTTCATTAGAGGGAAATGTTTCAATGTTGCTTTTGACTTCCTCATATATTCCTTTTTCTGTCTTTTCAGTCCTTTAGGGGCTTCTCCAGTGTACTTTTAATTGGCATCACTAAAGATATTTTAAAATTTTTCATATTTCTCTGTAGTTCTTTTCCAATGTCCCTAAATATTTTCTCTTTGAAGCTATTTTACATATAACACAAACAACTGTTATTATCATTGCTTTATGACATATTTATCTCTGGTGGAATATCCAGCATGGGTTGGTGTGTTTGTGAGTATTAGCAAAGAAACAACAGAGGTTTCGGTCATAGATAAGAAAATAGAAAACTGAAAAAGGAAAATCATTTTCCTTCAGCATTCAGCATTTCTAAACTCGCAAGAAAGACTCCACATTAGATGAAGGGAACCAACAAATATGGCTAACAAATTTGTTTTCTCTACCCTCCACTGTTAACTTCTATAGCTTTGGTGTACTTTCCATCGACCAGAGCTGGTCCAGTCAGGCTTGGAATGGTCACTCAAAAAACTTCAAATGGACTATGTTGATCTCTATATTATTCATTTCCCACTGTCTCTGAAGGTAGGTGATTATCAAATGTTTTCTCTCTAACTACCAACGTGACCATAATTATCATGGATGAGTAAATGATTCTGGTGAAGTTATAAAAGTTCTATAGATGAAATTTATAGACATAGTTCAAACTAGTTTATCAATGTATGTTACTCTGTGGTGTAAATGGAGGATTCCCAGCTATGAGTAGATACACTCATTTGATATGGCCTTAGGGAATATTCAGGTCCCAATGAATTTCCCTGCAGTATCACATTTATATTACTATTTTTTGAGCCTGTTCATTAGTGGCACATGTGACTGTGGAGCAATTCTAAACTAAAGGTTGCTAATATTTGATAGGCTTCCTGTATCTTCTAATATTTTTCTGAAACAGAACCTTGATTTAACTTCTACCTTATAAGTGCATGCTGTTTGACCACCAAGGTTAAAATTAGTAAATGGTGATTAAGACCATGTAACTATTATTGAACCTAATGAAACATATATTTCTCTAGAGGAAAGACATAAGAATACACAGTAACATATAACTGTGTCACCATTAAAATCTGGGAACTTGTATTGGTTAATACACAGCAGGTATGAACAGAACATTATTTACTACTTTGTATTGAAATTTAAGCATGTGAAGACTATGCCACATATTTCAAGCCTAAATATGTCTGGATATATTGTTCTGGACTGGAGACCTGAGTATACTGACACTGTGAAAAATGACTGCTTCTGTTCCAGCCTGGTGAGGACTTAATTCCAACAGATGAGAATGGAAAAGTGATATTTGACACAGTGGATCTCTGTGCCATTTGGGAGGTGAGTACAGAGGAAGCAACAAGAGGAAGTAAAAACTCCCAATTCAACTTTGAAAAATAGGATACTGTGGTTTGGATGCAGATATTCTTGCCACTATGTTAAAAGTTGTAGTGCAGGAAAGATGGGGGGAAAACAGCATACTTTGATGTAACAGAGAGCAACAGAGAAGAATTTGAAGCAATAAAAGCAGGCAGTCTTCTGTTCTTGTACATTCATCTCTCTGCTTTTCCAAGTAGAACATAAGAATTCATTCCTCACTATCTTTCTTTCTAGGCCATGGAAAAGTGCAAGGATGCGGGACTGGCCAAGTCCATCGGGGTATCCAACTTCAACCGCAGGCAGGTGGAGATGATTCTGAACAAGCCAGGACTCAAGTACAAGCCTGTGTGCAACCAGGTGTGAATTCTCAGACTTCCCTCCTTCAATTTTTCATTTCTTTCCTCCAATTCTGCTGTCACATATCCATTTTATTCCCCCATTTCTGTTTCACTTACTTGGATTAACGGAAGTTTTTGCAGCCAGAACCTTTAAAAAAAGAGAAATGTAGCTTCCATTTTCTATCTATTAATGTTATAGTGAAACGTTTAGGAAACTACTGTTGAAATATATAGGAATCTGCAAAAGTAAAATGACAAAAATGCTAGTATACTAGAGGATCAAACCTTGGGAGAAGACAATGAATTTATCCAAGATCAATGAAGAAATCCAATGGAGGATCACCAGAAGCATTGATTATTGAAGGTGTTGTGGAAGACATTGTGTTTAGGAAGGAAGGCCATGAAAACACTTAGGGAGCAATTAATAAATTCAGAGTGAATGTACTAGCAGATAAGTGGTAAGGGTTTGTTTGGCATTTAGAGATTTCAATGGTTCCTCTTGTTCATTGTTCCTTCATGTGTTTTGGAAAGACATATACAGGGAAGATAACTGTAGCGTATTAATATAAGGGAAAGGGGAGACATTATTTGGGGGACAATAGGGTAGCTAACATCAGCACTCATGGAATTTTACCAAAACTTAAGCTGATCCTTCAGCTTGTTTTAATCTTTGTCTCTTCCTGGTTTCTGTCATCAAATCAGAGGTTTAATTTCATTTATTATATGCATCGTTACATGTCATCACATATTATCTAACAATAATATTTGAAAAACATATAGAATCAATGACTGATATAATGATGCACAACTCTTATTTTCAGTAAGATATCATAAAACTAATATGACTTTATATTAGTTTCATTCCAATTATTTAGGAACTTTCATATACTCTGATAGTTTGATAATACAGATATTCCATATATTCCCCTGAAATAAAAAAAATGCTTGGTTTTTGATGTCAAGTTGATAGCCATGTGCATTAATTTTTTAGTACATAAATGCAATATTTTGTTGAAACTCTTAACACTATTTAGCAAAAAGATGTTGTAATATAAATAGGAAATCTTCATGATAGTTTTCATAGTTTATGGTTAGCAGTTTTTTTGTGTGATTTAGTCAGATTTTGGCAAAGGTTCTGAATTTCTCAGCTTACTGTTTTGTTATAATATAAATTTGTCAGTTCCAATATTCTGTGAATTTGGAGGTGAAATAATATTGCATTAATGGTCATTCATTAATATTGCATTAATGGTCATGATCTTAGAATGGATCATTCATTAAATTTTATCCCCATGGAAGGGGAAAAATAAGTAAACAAGCAGCAAACTAAATAAATAATTAAATAAATAGTATCCCTAGAAAAAGCATGGAAATAGAGCTTGTCACATGTTTAGTGATGTGTTCTTTGGTCACTTTGTTAAGGAGGTCATAGACAGAGCTCCTTGATATGAGTATATATTTTTAACCGCTGCATTGTCAAGTTATCTAACGCATGATTTGTTTCTTCTGAGGAATGCCATGTTTTTACAGTTTCAGCATAAAATATCCAATATGTTGCTTTCAAAATGTCACAGTAAATTTTCTCTTTAATTGAAAAAAGTTATCCTTACTTGGATGCTAGCATTATGATACAGTATGCTGGACACTAGTTTTGGTGCCTGTATCCCATATGGGTGTCAATTCAGCTTTTGCCTGCTCCATTTTCAACACCACTTCTTATTAATGTGCATAAGATGTCTTCTATGATGGTTCAAGTGTATGAGTCCCTGACACTAATGTGGGTGAAACATACGAATTTGGGGGCTCTAGGAATCAGCAGGCTTCAGCCCTGGCAGTTGTGGTTATTTGGGCAAGTGAATCAGAAGTTAAAAAAAAAAAATCTCGGTCTCTCCTTTCCTTTCAAATATTGTGCTTGAATCAAATAAAAAGTCCTAGTAGATGTTAACTTTCATTTTTATTAAAATTCAGCTACTATTACTTTTTAATGTTTCCCTTTGTGTTTCATGAAATTTGATAGTTTTTAATATCATGTCTCTACAGGTAGAATGTCATCCTTATCTCAACCAGAGAAAATTACTGGATTTCTGCAAGTCCAAAGAAATAGTTCTGGTCGCTTATGGTGCTCTGGGGTCCAATCGAAATCCAAAATGGTAGGAAACAAAACAAAACATACAACAAAGACAGCAATCTACCTCAAATGCCTCTGTTGAAATATAATTTGTTGTACAATACTTTTTTTAATAATTAATTATTTCCTACCTCAGGGGAGGAAAGAATTCGCATTTCAAGAAACATTTCAGATAAGGACCAATCTTAAAAATTACTGGTATAGATTGGATGGTTTAGTATTTTCAGAGCCTCATATGGAACTAAATACTCAGCTCAACAAGTTCAGCTTTCCTATTTCTCTTTCCAGGGTGGATCAGAATTCTCCAATTCTCCTGAATGATCCGATGATTTGTTCTATGGCAAAAAAGTACCAGCGAACTCCAGCCCAGATTGTCCTTCGCTACCAGCTGCAGCGTGGGGTTGTGGTCTTGGCCAAGAGCTTCAGTGAGAAGCGGATCAAACAGAATGCTCAGGTAATGAGGGCATGGGGCTGTAGGTATCAGTAATCCTGCAATTTACCATTGCTTCTTTGCAAGATATCAAGACCTTTGGACCAAGTCTATTCTCTGATTTTACTCATGCATTTCAATTTTCTGTGTATTTTTGATACATCATGATAAGAGAATCAAGATAATACAGAAAACGGAAAATAAGGTTTCAGCATTACATTTTGCAATACACTTCATGGTCTTGTGCAATGATATTTTTCTTTATTTTCTGAATTATAATATTAGATAGGGTGACTTTTGCTTTTTAAATTATTATTATTTTAGTTTGTGCTGCATAAATATTTATGTGGTTACATATTCATCGGTTGTTTTCATTTTAATTTCCCTGCCTTATGAAGCACCTGTTTAAATCTTTGCCCATTTTAACCCATTGCCAGTGTCTCTGTTTTCAATCAAGACATCTTTGTTTTATGATTAGGATAACTAGTTTTATGGCAAAGCACATTCCATGTAGAATATTATATGACAAGGATTATTTTTTTCATCTCACGATCATTTAGCTTGAAAATTAGCCTAGGTTAATGAATGAAGTATTCAGAATTATTTCCCTAATTATGCTATAGCATTTATATAGTCTGGACTTAGTTTCCGACTTGGATGCATCTGTTCAAGCATTTTCTCATGAATTATATCAAAGTTTTAATTCTCTTCCTGATGTATTTTAGTCATCAAATGCTCCTACTCTTCATTTACTTAAACTTTGATTGTAACTGATTCATGAAAGGTCTTTTCCTAACAGGAAGACATGCTGGTACTCCACTGCATTTTCCAGGAAAGTGTTAAAGTCCTTTTTTCTAAATCGGTTCATCAAGCTAATGGATGTTTGTTAATATTACCTGCAGTACATCCAAGAATCCATTGTCATGTATGCTGTACTTAAAGAAAATAAAGGATAAAATGGGATACACAAAACACATATTGAAACACCTGAGCTTGAGATTCGGTCTTGCTTCAGATGTAGGTTTCCTGGATGCTCTAGAAGGCATCATGCTGTGAGCCACATGCTTGGATGCTTGTGACCCTTGTGAAATATTCAGAATAAGTTGTAGGGTCCTGGCTTCCTTGCACCCCAGGACTGTTCTTGCAGACATTTCTTAAATGAACTGCTGGATGGGAGAGCTCTGATCCTCTGTCTCATTGTCACTGTGGTTCTCATACACTGACACATCAGATCATCCTACCAAATAGAGTTCCACAGGCACTCTCTTCAAGGTTTTTGTTTTCTTTGTTTTCCTCATTACATTCAAAATAAAGTCAAATTTCCTAGAGGCTAAACACTTTGAATTGAAACTCTCCATTGTTTTTGAGACAGTTTTCTAAGTAATGTTTTTTTTTTCAAATTGTTAACTTTTTAAATTCCTTTCTCTTTCTTTCTTTATTGGTGAACTGAATCAAAGAACATTACTATATTATTCATTTATTCCAAAATTTTCCTTTACATTCTCCTGAAAGAATATTGCTTTAAATAATATCAAATTTAGCTTTTATATTATTCATTTCCAAATTAATAATCCAGATTCCTTTTAATATGTAGTGTTGCGAAATTTCTATATACTTCATGATTTATTTTCTTTACTAATACCCAATGTTTATTTAATTGTTAACAATTGTATTCATTCATTTGAAATTTCCAACAGAATGGAAAGACACAGAGATCGATTCATTTTTTCAAATGACCTCAACGGCTACAGCATTTTCAGGCTAAATTGAGGAGTTTCTGGTTTCATTAGGGACTACAACATGCATAACAGGGAGCCAAGTATGTAGGCCAGCCTCTGCTGCTTTCCCAGATACGTTAGCAGGGAACTGTGTTGGAAAGTTGCAGCCAGACTTGAACTGATGTAAATATGGGATACTGGAGCTGCAGGCAGTGGCACATCTCGCTGGACCACAATCAATGTTTCTGATGAGCCGTTTGTTCGATCTCTCAAAATGTTTGAGGGTTTTTCAGGATTTTCCAGATCGACAGATATGCAACAGAAAAATAATTTAATAAAACTGCTTGTTTAACAGGTATTTGATTTTCAATTGTCGTCGGATGACATGAACGTGTTAGAAGGCCTGAACAGGAATCTCCGATATTTTTCAGCTGAATTGTAAGTAGTTTTGCTAAGTGTATCACCTCCATTTAATTAATAAGGGGCTGTAGCATTGGTATTAGCCAGTGATTTCCAACTGTTTTGGATATGACTTATGGAGACTAGCATTACAGTTAAAATAAATGCTAACAAAATTTTTACTTTCTTTTTTCCCAAAACGTTATCAATTTATATATAAACGAGGGCATTTCTACTATACCAGTGATTCTAGGGAGAAATTCTGTTTTGTTTTGTTTCCATTGTATTTTGGTGTAATTTTTTGTGTAATTTTTATAAGAGTAATTTGCCTTCTAAGATATTACAGATCGATTATTGCTTCAATAATTTCAGTAATTTTAAAACGTAAATTGATTCTTCAGCTTGCAGACAAGATAAATTTCTCTTTAACTTGAGAATCTGATGTACCATATTGTCAGGTAGTGCTTTGCATTACTGAAAAATGCAGCTCAGTCAGAGGAATATGGTTGAATTTCTTATACATGTTCTTTATTTAAACATCAAGTTATGTAGTATGAAAAATGAGTATGATTAAATATATTAACCATAAGGTCAGGCTCTTGAATGTAAGTCAGATTTTAAAACCAGGAAGCAAACAAAATTAATTTTTACTGTAATAGCAGTTCACAAAATCCACATCTTAAATATGCTGGAAATGTATTTACTGAGTTTGGGTTGTATATTTTTCTCATTCTAGTCTTCTCGAGCATCCAAATTACCCATTTGCTGATGAATATTAACATGGGAGACTTTTATGACTTCTTCCTGAAGAGCTTGCAAATGGATCATAATGTAGGAGACATCTCAGATACTGGTGACCACGCACCTCACTTCTGGTTGATCTTTGCCACCTAGCGGTTCTGAGCTATAGCCGTATCCACAGCGCATATAACCACCATGACAGTAGATTCTTATCACTGTGAGAAAAATGAAAGTGGTAATTTGTTAAAGATTCTTACTTGATGCTGTTTGTATTACAGACCTGCTTTGTTGCATTCAGAATGGTCAGTCCCTAACACTGATTTGCATAGAAGCTTGCAGAACTTTGGTGACAGACGACAGCAGCTGGTCCATGAATGCACCAGGAGAGGGGTGGGAACCATGAGCTTGTAAGGCGCTTTGTGACGAGTTTTCAGTCTTTGTTTTTCCAGTGCATCCAGGAAGCTGAAGTCTCACAACACAGAGTTCAAAACGTGAGGCACTACTCCACGGATACAGTCTAGGATCTGTGTTCCAGCTGCTTATGGGTCAGAACTGCACCCATTTCAGTATCGTGTATCTTTGGAGGAGGATTAGTCTCTGTTGAGGGGATTTAATCTGGAAGAGAAGTTAGAAGTCAGATTTAACAGACTAAAAAGTGGAGGCTTAACCCAACTCTACCTTGGAATTAGAGAATGTTCTACAGTAATAATAACTTCAGATAAAGGATAACTTTCCACTTATTTATCTCAGTGACAAAGTTGAGTCTTAGGGATTTTTACTTGGTAATCAAGAGAAACACTAAAGTTCTTGGTGATGTAGTGAAACATAAAGACAACAAAGCAATGTAATGATAAAATAGAGCTAAATGTTAGCACCCATATTTTCCATTTTTTGAGGTTTTGATTTTTGTCTCTTAAAATTCTTAAACATAAAAGTAGGCAGGCCCAACAATGCAAAATGCATTGTATCTCAAAAAACAATGGCTATCAAATAGGCTTTTCGAAAGCATTTCTTCAGCTGAGAAAAACCATACAAAATTGGCAAGCCATGATGCTCTCCAAGTGATTCACCCATGAAAGTGTAAAGCCTATGGATTTGGGACACTATTTTGTCTTCATCAATCCCTTAAGGAGCACAGATAATCTCAATAACTTAAATTTCATCAATGGTATGATAAACCTCAAATCTGGAGGTTAAATAATTTAATTAATTTTTTTTTCTGTTTACCTTCCAAGCCTGGTTAACAATTTCACTGTTTGAAAGTGACAACGGTTTTAGTGACTGAAGCATTTAATTTTTTTTTTAGTCATGTGCATTTCCCCCCTGATTTGGAACTAACAACTCCAGAGAAAAAGATCCCCTTTTGTCTTGTGAATCTTTTTATTTCTGAGGTATCCATATAGTGTAGTCTCTCATTCATGGTGGATATGTTCCAAGACAGTCAGTGCATCCTGGCTAAATACAGATACATGCTTTCTATCCAGGTATACAACTTTACTATGTGCAGATAGGAGCTACATGGAACTATGTTTCTTTTACCAATGTACAAAAAGAAAACTTCTAAAAGAGGGAGGGAGAGAGAGAGATAGAGAAAGATAGCTACAGCAGGAGAGTAATAAGAATGCCTAATAATAATGATGTAGGAAATATAAACACATGCTGTGCAAAGAATTATTTGAAAATATATCATTCTCTCAAAGTATCTAAGAATACCAAAACACTTTAAATTACGGTTGTAAACTTGGATACTTAAATGATAAAATAGTTTCTGTGTTTTGATTCTACATATGTCACATGGGTATATGTCAGTAAATGTACCAATAAGGATAAGTCATCAACATACACATATTAGGTTATATTACAATCATAATCATATAATCACATTAAAATAAAATGCAAAAAAATCACGCCTTGTGTATAGTAAATTTAAAGTGTGGAATGTGTTTTTTGTCTTTACTGTTCTAGCTACTGTCTTGCTTCAGTTGAACGATTTGTTTTTCTCCTCTCTTTGTTCCAAAGCAGAGTCAATAAGGTGGAGTTCAGCCATTTATTGCTGGATTTTAGCCTCATACTCATTTTCTTAGGACTTGAGAGGACTGACACATAGCTGACTTCAAAGTCCTTTTATGCCACATAGTTTAGAAAGGAATAACAGCAATTCTTTTTTAAAATATCTTCCCCACCCAATCCCACAATTAAAAACAAAATTGAAAACACATGCCATAAAACCCATATTGATATATGTTTCAAATAATGTTTAATGAAAAAACAGGGGTTGAGTGCTATAGCTCAGAGGCTAAATCCTTCCCTTGCACACACTGGGATCCCATATGAATGCTGGTTTGTGTTCCAAGTGCTCTACTCCCCATCAAACTCCTTGCTTGTTGCTTGGGGAAGCAGTGGAGGATGCTCAAAAGCCTTGGGACTCTGCATCCATGTGGAAGAATGGAAGAACTCCTGGATCCTGCTTCATTTCTGGCCATCAGGCCACTTGAGGTGTGAACCTCAAGATCTTTCTGTCTCTCCTCTGTAAAATAAATCTTTAAAAAAGTAAAAAAATGGTAGACATATGTCTCGCATCTACACAGAGGCAAACAATTCTGAAAAATATTTGCATTCTGAATCTGACAACAAAGTAACAGCAGCAACTACAAAAATGTAATTCTTTTGCTCAACTGGAATTAGAGATGAAGAAATGATTCAGCAAATAAAAATGTACGCTGTATAGCGTAACAGAATTGATGATAAATCAACTAATCATATTAATAAACTAAAATAAATTAATAAAATATAGCACTGACTCATGAAATTAAAAAGTAATAAAAAATCATGGATAGAAGAATGTTAACTATACACAAAAAGTCTCATTATTACATGACAAGCACAGATTCATACCGTGTGATTGGGGAAAAAGCCATAAGCACTTTCAGTAAATATGGAACAAAACAAGGGTATCTACTCTTAGCAATCTTATTCAGTATAGTCTTAGATGTTTAAGACCAATATTACAAAAGAGGAAGAAATAAAATGTGTACAAACAGAAATGAGTGCGACAGATTATCTCTGGAGATGACAATTCCACATAGATTCAATCATTTTACTAAAAATTCCAACAAAATATGTTCAGAATTGGTAGGTGAATTCAGCCAAGTTGTAAGAAAAATAAAAAACAAACACCAAAAGTGTAGCATTTTTAAAGATTCATATATTTCGTATTGAAAAGGCAGATTTACAGAGAGAAGAAAAGACAGAGAAAAAGATCTTCAATCTGCTGATTCACTCCTCAAAAGCCCACAATAGCCAGAATTGAGCTGATCCCAGGTCAGGAGCCAGGAGCTACTTCTGTGTCTCCCACATGGGTACAGGGGCCAAAGACATTGAGCCATCCTCTGCTGCTTTCCCAGGTCATAAACAGGAAGCTTGATTGAAAGTGGAGAGGCTGGGACATGAACAGGCACCCATATGGAATCATGACACTTGAAGGAAGATTAGCTATTTGAGCCATTGTGCGAGCACCAGCAGTAGCATTTTTAAACATCTGGGTTTCAAGGGGAGCATCTTCTATTTATCCTCAGATTACTATTCAAGCAATTACAAATGTTACCATGGCAAGTGGTTCAAAACACATGTTTTCCATATGTACATATTCATCCTAATCCAGCAATGGTCACTTCAGAACATGGAGGTTCGCAAGCAACCTCCATTTGGTTGCCAAGGGTATCCTTGAGACAGTTACATATTGACTTCTGTACATTTGTCACACTGTTGCTTCCTGATCATTAAGCACTGGCTGGGTCTTAGCAATAATGTTTGTGCCACAACAAACCCTGTAATTTGACTCCCCAAGCAATTTCATAAAAGATTGAGGCACTGAGCCTTCTAAGTAGAAGGCTCTTTCTTCAGAAAGTGGAAGAGGTTCCCTCTGGTCATTCACTTCTATAGTTTCATTTTGTATTTCTTAGTTTCTCATTTGCATGTTGCTCCTTCTCCAAACATGTTTATGTTGCTCTGGTCGTGGCAAAGAATGCTTAATTTTTAAAAAGATTTATTTATTTTTATTGGAAAGTCAGATATACAGAGAAGAGGAGAGACAGAAAGAACTTCTGTCCGTTGATTCACTCCCCATGTGGCCAAGATGGTGGAAACAGAGCTGATGCGAAGCAAGGAGCTTCTTAAAAATTAGGGCTTCCAAAATTAGAATCGGTGCCCTTATGGGATCCTGGCACATAAACAGCAAGGATTTTAGCCACTAGGTTATTGCGCCTGGCCCAGAATGTTTAATTTTGAAAAGGCAGGAAGAAGCCTCATACCTGCTTGCCACACACCATGGTTACTTAATTCTTAGGCTTAACTGTGATCCAGCTTATGCTATCTACAGAGCATAGCCAACGTTGCACATTCACAGGAAAATCTCTAAGTTTAATGATTTGGTGTAAAGATTCACAGGAAAAGTCATAGTAATAACCATTTCTGTAGTTAACTTAGTAAAGATACAAAATAAAAGCAGGACAAAGAAAATGAATACAGATCCAAATATAGATGAAATCTGGCATATATTCAACACACTCGCCCTGCAATTAAATGTTATGAGAAAATGCTTTGAGAAGCAAATGTTTGGAGAAGCAAAGCTCCTGTACATTTCAGCAGAGGCACATGCTGCAGACAGCCTCTGGTAGCATACGGTGCTATGTGTACACAACGGCCACTGCATGTACAGCAGTCAGCATAGTCACAATCATTCTGATTCAGAAACTGAATATCAGAAATGTAAAGCAACCAGATTTTCAAGTTAAAGAACACTTAGAAACCACTGAGCTGCCTGAACAAAATAACTACCAGCATGACTTGTCTAAATACGAATCAAACTTTCATTCTCCATAGACAATGAACTAGACCAAGAATAGAAAATCAGCAACCTTTCAAAGAGTGATCACAATTCAGGAAGAAGTCCTCCCAAACTTCAATGAAAGTTTTAGAAACTTTTTGATAATACTTCTTTCCCATTTCTATCAGATATCTTTTTCTTTCTTGCCAATTATGGTTCCATATACAGCATAATTCCTCTACATTACTAACTTCATTTGCCTATAGATTGTAAGGCCAGGTGTCTTCCTCATGACACTGGTACATCTGAATAAAGTCCTAATTTAACTATCTAAGTCAAGTTTACATTAACCCACTTTCCCTTTCTTTGGCATGGTGTGCCCCTTGGTGGGAAATCTTTTATTACCAAAGGACAGATATCTCTCATAAAGCATATTACAGAATTTGGATTATTGTTTCACTGAGTGCATCATTTAATAAATAAAGTTATTGCTCCATTTTGATGTGTCTTTTTTATTTAGTCTTTCATTCTTCAATCTATATATTGATCACCTGTACATTCCTACATCAGCACATCTATTAATGCCTATCATCTGTGAAAAATTATATGCCCTTAATGACATGATTGTGACAATGGTACGATGATATCCTAGTATTATAAACACTCCCTAATGCCT